GCAATTTGGAGAAATTATTTCTCCCATCATTCTTTGATGTCATGGAGCACTTGCCTATCCATCTACCTCATGAAGCAGCACTAGGCGGTCCAGTTCAGTACCGGTGGATGTATCCTTTTGAGCGTTATATGTTCCATTTGAAGAAAAAAGTAAAAAATCTTAGCAAAGTTGAGGGATCAATAGTAGCTCAAAGCATAAACGAGGAGACTTCTCATTTTTCGGCCTACTATTTTGCTCCAAATGTCCAAACAAAAGCAAGAAAACCAGGTAGGTACGATGATGGGGGTGTGCGGCCTTTTTACCATACATCTGTCCCAGATATCTTTTCTCAAATCGGGAGACTGAGTGGGAAGAAAAGAGAAGTATGGTTTACAGATCAAGAATTTAATCACATTCATACTTACATCCTCCGGAACTGTGACGATGTCATACCATTCGAGAAGTAAGAAACAAAATTCATACCTTAATAATACGCATATATTATTTGCAAAATAATTACTTATACAAAAAAAACGAATGTCTGTAGGATCTTTGATGATCAAGTGTCTGGAGCGTATCCAAACATGACAGAGGCTCAAAAAGAGGAAATGAAGCAGACACAATATGCTAATTGGTTAAAATATTATGTAAGTTTTCACCGTTGATTTTACATATATTATGAACATGGTTACTATTTATTAAAATCGTACATTTGCTTGTATGTTTTGCAGATCAAATCAGCCGCAAGTAGGCAGGAACACTATCCAACATGGTTTGAAGAGTTGGTTGGAGGTCCTCTATCAAGGGCAATGGCATACCCGATGTATTGCACTCGAGGCTACATTTTCATAAAACGTCCAGGGATTACTAACAGAAAAACAGTGAATTATGGGGTCGTTGTTCGTACAGATTCGATAGACTACTATGGTGAAATTACTGATATATTAGAGGTTGAATATCCGGGAGTCATAAATTTGAAATGTATACTCTTCAAGTGTGACTGGTATGATCCTAGAGTTGGAAGAGGTGTTAGACTTACAAAGTATGGTGTCACAGAGATCAACTCGACTAAGCAGTTAAGAAAGTACGATCCGTTTATACTTGCATCTCAGGCAGCACAGGTTTGCTACATACCATATCCACAAGTAGGTGTTCGACAATATCCATGGATTACGGCTCATCAAATAAATCCAAGAAGCAGAGTTGATGGGGTGAAAGAAAAGGAACCGCTACAACAAATTGCAGTAAACGAAATTACGCAAGTAGATCAATCTGTCGGTGACATTCCCCTCGTTGATATTGAGAACATAGAAGTCGAAGAGATATGGGAAAATGCGGAAGACGAAGAGGATGGAGAAGAGTTTGAAGATCAAAATGATTCTGCTAGTTCAGATTATTCTTCCGATTCTGAGTAAATCAAATATATCGTCTTTAGTTTTTTATATATATTTTATAAAATCTGTTTAAATGCTTTTAAATTTATCATATTATATGCATTATAATTTATTTGTTAAAAAAATCTGTTTCTATTTTATAATAATTAAACCATTCTAATATTTTATTTTATTCATACTTTCGTCGGAACTGTCGTATGAAACGTTTGAGATTAAATTTGTACCGCTTAAATATATCTTGATACAAAACAGGGTATATTTAATTAAAGAAATACTTGACACAAAATAATTAAAATTATTTAAATTAATATACCCTGTTTCCGACGAATTTTCCGACGACATTATTTTCTCCGTCGGAAAATCGTCGGAATTAGGCTATATTGAATTAATTTATTTTTTTTACTTTTCTTTCAGAAATACTGAAGCGGGAACATTTACGAGACTTGGGAGATTTAATGTCCAAATTCCGACAAATATGGTCATCGGACTAACCGACGGAGATTGGGTTTTAAATTTATTGCCGTTTACTTTTCCCGGGCGTTAGAGAAGTTAATGTAACCAATTTCCGACGAATTTTCTGACGAAATTTAAAAATTTGTCGGAACATTTGTCGGAAAATGTTCCCGCAAGATTTAATTTCCGACGAATTTTCCGACGAAATTTAAAAATTTCGTCGGAAAATTCGTCGGAAATTGGTTACATTAATTTCTCTGACGCTCGAGATAAGTAAACGGCAATAGCAATTTCCGACGAAATTTCCGACGAAATTTACAAATTTGTCAGAAATTTCGTCGGAAATTGGTTACATTTATTTCTCTGACGCTCGAGATAGGTAAACGGCAATAGAATTAATGTAACCAATTTCCGACGAAATTTCTGACGAAATTTAAAAATCTGTCGGAAAATTCGTCGGAAATTAGATCTCGCTGTAACAGTTTCCGACGAAATTTCCGACAAATTATTAAATTTCGTCGGAAATTTTGTCGGAAATTGGTTACATTAATTTCTCGCGGATCTCGTAAATGTAGAGGGAAAGTTAATTGGTTTGAAATTCCCGCTGCATATTTTTCCGACGAATTTCCGACAAATATGGTCGTCGGAAATTTTTATATATATACGACTCACAGATTTCTCACACTTCTCACACTTCAAACGACTTCAAACGACTTGGAAACACTTCAAACGTGATTATTCTCACACTTCTCACATCTTACATCTCACATCTTCTCACACTTCTCACATCTTAAGGTAAGATGTTTAGTTTTATTTTCTTCATAATTTTGTTTATAAAATTCAAAAGACTAATTATAAATTTTTTATTTGATTAAGGAGATGGATAATGGATCGTGGAGTGGATATATGTCGTATTGCAATGAACGTGGGTTTGTTCCGGATTTGAATCTTGGTTCCGAAACCCAACCACCGGAGGATTTTCCCATGGAGGACACGGAAGTTCCGGAGACGGAACCATTGGCGATGCCTACACGGAATGATGATGCAAATCCACTCGATTCTATGACGCTAGACCAATTACTCCGTGCTCCGGGTCGAGATAAATTGAAAAAGATCGACCCAAGCCGTATGCACGGAACAACTTGGTAAGAAATTGTATTATTTAATTTATAGTTTTACGTAGATAATCTTAATTAAATAATTTGGTAATTATAGGTATCGATTCGATAAAGGATTCACAAAGATTATCAAGAAAATCATGGAGAGCGATTTCCCCGATCCCGCTCCGAATATTACGTCGGTCTCCGGAGACACAAAGAAACGTTGGTTTAAGGCATTTGCGGTTAGTTTATTTAAATAAAATTTATGCTTTATTTACTTTGTTTATAATTGTAGCTAAAAAAATTAAATTTTAAAATTTTACAACACTAAAAATATATATATTTTAAATTGTTTAACATTGTAGCAAAAATTTAATTGGGATTATGGTCTTACGGGCGAAGTACAAGAAAAATTTGAGGAGATATGTGGGGCACGTTTATTGGATTATGTTTATGGATGGAAAAAGAAATGGCTTAACGGGAAAGAAAAGCCAAAATGGATGCGAGAAAACGTTTGGCAAGGGCTTATTGCATATTGGTTACAAGAGCAAAATAAGTCCCGTAGTGAAACTAATTCTCAAAATCGCAAGAGTGAACGCGGAGGCTATGGCATGGCTAAACATACTTGTGGATCAATGCCATATGTCCGGAAAAAGGAAAAAATGGTAAATAAAAATTTAAATTTTTTACATTTCAATTTGCATTATAATAAATTTTATTGTAAATTTTTAACTAATAAATATTTTAAATGCAAGCGTAATCCCGAAACCGGTGAGTATCCCGATATGGTGACATTCATGGAGGAGACTCACAAACGGAAATCGGACGGGACATTTGTTGATAAAAAAGCTGAGGCAATAGCTCGTCGATGTCGGGAGATGGAGAAAGAGAAACTCACACAATTGAGTCAACAATCAGACACGCCCGATGATTATCAACTCACCCAAGCAGAAAAAATGATATTTTCCGATCGGTAAGTAATAGTAATTAAAATATTATAATTTAGATAATATGTTTTATTTCCTAACAACATTTTCATTATAATAGCAAGTTGAAGTTAAAAAAGGACGTAGATTTGGATACGGTTCCATTCCGTATGACGAAGACATGGGCGGAAGTTCGTCGTATTCACATGCACACGTGAATTGTCAAGCAAACGCAGCCAAAATCGTCGAGTTGAAGACTCAATTAAAAGATTGCAAGTTTTGGATGGATACGATGGCCCGTCTTCATCCCGACATCGTTCCGCCTTCTCGCCAAGATCAACCCGGAAATCAAAATGAAACAAATAACGTTGACACTCTATTTGATATATAATATTTGCGTTTGTAATAATTTTTAGTTGTTTAAGAACTTATTAATGTTTAATTATGTTTTTTATATTATGTGGTGAATTTTATTTATTTTAATTATGTTTTTATATAATATTTGTGTTTGTTTTATTGAATTATTACAATTAAATTAAATTAATATTATTTAATTTAATTAATTATATTAATTAACAATAAAATATAAATATATTTTTTTTTAATAAAATATAATATTTCGTCGGAAATTCGTCGGAAACTAATAAAAAAAATACGATTTGTCGGAAATTCGTCGGAAACTATTAAATATATTATTATATTATATTTTGTCGGAAATTCGTCGGAAACATCCATTCGTCGGAAATTAGTCGGAACGTTCCGACGAACTTCCGACGATTTGTGGTCGGAAAATCGTCGGAATCGTACTCGATCTTGCGGCGTCGTTTGTAGGAATCTCCTCGGAATGGCGTCGGAATATGCCGTCGGGATATCGTCGGCAATTTTCCGTCGCTATTCCGACGGACATTTCCGACACCTTTCCGACGGGCTTTCGACGAATATTTCCGACTATTTTCCGACAAATATTTCCGACGAATTTTCCGACAAATCATCTCGACAGAAATTTCCGACGAATTTCCGACGAATATTGTTTTCCGACCAGAGAATTCCGACAAACTTGGTGTGGTCGGAAATTCGTCGGAAACATCCATTTCCGACGAATTTCCGACTATTTGGTTTGTCGGAATTTGCTATGTTTTCTTGTAGTGTATAGTCTATTTTATTTGGTTACTATTGGAAAAAACTTGAACAGAGACCTAAAGATTTAGACTAAAAACAGTAAGAGTACATTTCCCTTTTTCTGTTTTCCTTTCCTTTTTTTATGTACGAAGAAGAATTCAAATGTAAGGAAAAAAAGAAGAAGAAAGTGATTCGAAATCTGAAAAGCGAAATGGATAAAAAAAAAAGCTCTCAATCTTCAACCTTTGGGCCTCTGTATAAGGCTCCAACTACGTTAGTATGATCTTCTGGATTATCATCTCTTTCTTGCAGCCATGCATAACCTTCCTTCTCCTCTTCACTTCTCAAAATGTCGTCGTCCTCTGAAAACAACAACACAGATGAAAACAAGAAAACAAAACAAAACAAAACTTTTAATCTATCTGTCTTAAGTATAAAGTATGTAAAGACTATCATAATTAGTAAATAAATAAAAAAAGCTGACCTGATGAAAATTGGTCAAAAGGGAATTCTAGGAAATAAGTGCAATGTCTGCCTTCTGGATTGCAGTAAGGAGGTCCAAGCACGTCTAGCACCGCACATGCTGTTTTAGCTGTGAACCGATGCATGTTCCCGCCATCTTCCGGGTACAAAATCGAGGTGTTGCACGGTGCGGTGAATGTTGAGTCCACCTTCAGTTTCGCTAGCCAGGTTTTTGGATCTCTCACTGCATTTGAGATAAGACAAATCAATTTCATTCTTCTTTTTTGAACATATAAATCAATTTCATTAAAAACATAGGGTCTCATCAAGTCTAAAACAGAGACTATTACTGCTTTGTTTGGTAACACTGCGGAATGTGGAAAACGAATCAAATTTTTGGATCAATAGAATGATCAAAACAATATTAAGCGAAAAGAATCTTTCAATTTGGCTGCAGAACTGCCGAATAACCGATATAAGAAGTCATTATGCAAATGACAAAGCTTGAATGGTATATAGTAGTATAAACAAATGATCTAATGACAGAAACACAGCTGAACAGAGTATCAGCGAAATAATCATACAACGCTAAAAACTAATTTTAGTAGATTATTGATCATTTTTTTTAATGTATATTTTGGAAAAATATTACTATAGTATATAGGTGAATGTTCTAAATCATGAAAACGTAAAAAAGTTCATCACCAACATGATCACCAATTTTGGGAAATTATTTATACCAATCAAGAGCCTATAATGTTTCGCTAAATTGGGATATTAATTAGATCTTCGAGATAAATAAAAAGTTAAAAGTGATTTCCTTTTGTCACTTCTATCACAATGCACAGTCGAACATCTAACGAACCCTAATAAGCCAGTCAGAAATTAACTGCAAGCTAACAATAACAAACAAGTTTCACAGCTCACAAACTTTTCTTGGGACGAAAGTAAGCTTACTTGGAGTATCAACCACCCAATCATACGACTTGATGTGCATTGTACCAAAGAGAAGCTTACTAAAAACTGTCATCCCTGGATGGTTATGAAGTGGAATAACACCAGAAGGCGGCAAACAGAAAATCCCAATCTGCGATAAAACCCTAACCTCGATTACTTACGCCACAAGAAAGAGAACAATACAAGTAAGAAAGTGTTTTTTTTTTTAGTGGAAATTACCGAGAATTGATCACATTGGTGTAGATGCAGATACGTTATCGGTGGCGAAGACCGAGTTTCGAGTCCGGTGTTTGGTCGGAAATACGGCATGGTCGGAGCTAAACCGACATCCTCTGGTTTCATATCGTCTATATAGACCAAAATCCAATCAGTATCGAAACTTTATAGAAACCCAAAACAAGAAATTCAAAAAGACTAATAAAAATTGTATACCAAGAATCTCTCGTAGCTGTTGAATTTTATCTTCAGAAGGAACAACACCAGGACCACCATTAGAGAACACTTCCTTGCAAGTATTAAACAACCGCCGCACCGCCGTGATCTCATCCGCCGGAGAATCAATCTTCTTCCGTCTCCACGTCATCATCATCTTCTTATTCTTGTTGTTATTCTTCTTCTTCTTCTTATTATTAACAGAATTGGGACTAGACATACATTGGTTCTTACTCGAAATCAATTCCATAACCTCTTTCTCTGGTTTCATCTCAAACCCCATAAAAATCTCACAAAAAAAAAGTGTCTGTGTATCAAGAGATCAAGATCAAAAGTATGAATCTGGGAATGGATTAGAGAAGAAAAGAATGAGATATAGAAACAGGGAAAAAGAAGAAAAGAGAAGATATAGAGATGATACCATTATCGATTACAAAACCAGGGGCCATTCTTTTTTTTCCTATGGGCTGTGTTTTTTCAAACAGCGGATTCCTTTTTTATCCGTTTCGGTCTTCGCAAAGGGGCAAATTCGGAAACACACACATTATTAAAATTTTATTATATACTTGCTTTCTCTGTTTTATCGGTTTACTATAACCCGGTCCGGTTTATGGGATCTGTTTTATTTACTTTCCACTGGTTGAATTTAGTGATATATATATATATATTTTACTCACGAATTGTCAATTTCATGGACTCATTTATATAGACTCCATAAATAACAATTAAAAATATACGTGTTTAATTTGAATTATGTTCAAATCGTAGGATGGTTTTGTGTGTTTACTTTGAATCTTTGATAGAAAGTATTTGTATACATAATTTAGGAAATGTCGGTTTTGACCCTGAAATCTTTTTTTCTTCACCGGATTATATGGGAACGAGTACTAGGAATCTTGGTTTTTGTTATTATTTTTTTTTATTTTTTCATTTTCATACATATTTGTTTTCATATCATTTGATATATTTAGCAATTATTAGTTTATATCTTAGGAGGTGTTATTGATTTGTGATTCAAAATAGAGTTTTAGTGACTTTAAATGTTATGTAGAATCGGTTGTTATTCAATCAAGATTTTTTAAAAGTTTGTTAAAGTTTGGTGTTATTAGTTTAAGATTTATAAAAAGTAAAATTTTCATAAATCTGGAGTTATTGGATTTATACTTTTATAAAGTCATTAAAAGTTTTGTGTTATTCAATTACAACAAAAGAATCAATGATTATTAATGAATTAAATTATTATGTTATTGGTTAATGACTTTCTACATTTTTATTAATCATCAAAGTAGAGAGATTGTTTGGAAAACTTTACAAGATTATGACATACTAATCAACAAAATTATAGAAAACTTTCAAAAACTCTCTAACAATAACACCCCTTTAGTTTGTCATGACGTATAATTATCATTTATAGTTGAGATCTTTAACAATAAAGCAATTAAGCACATAACAAATCAGACTTGCTCGCCAAATCGGAACATGTTGATTATATGATTGATTACAAGCTAAGTCCAATTTCTGCTGAGATTTTTATATTAAGAAAAACATATTTTAGTTTTTAAAAATCTCCAATATCATCATTTCTTTTTATAACATGTTTTAAGAACTTTTTGTTTACCAACATGTTTTATGCAGACTTTAATCTGAATGGGTAGTACAACGATGATATTAAAATAAACGATTACGCCATATATTCCGGTAAAAAAAAAAAACCAAAATAATATTCATATATAAGTTTTGGTTGCTTGAAGAAAACAAACAAATGTGTATTATGAATAGTCCAAGCACCGGCTGCTATGGTTTACTCTTTATATAACTTGTTTTCCATAACAAAAAATATCTTTACAAATTAGAATTTTTTTTTAATCATTTTCACCCCTTAAGTATTTATTCCCTGAACTAGATTAGAAGCAAAAAATCAAAATGTAGAAAAAATTGTCTTTAAACATTATAGTAAATTAAAAAGAATTTTTCTAACAGCGTTTCCCGACTCTGCAATCAAGTGCTCCGGCATATTTGGTCAGCTTTGAAACAGCCAATCCATGTTTCGGTTTGATCATTTGTTGTCTTGTGTGTGCACATTTGTATTGAGGATTACCAGATTGTCTGAAATAAGCACCATTCATGAATACATCTTTCTCAGATCTCCAGTTCCAGTGTTTCCACTCATCCTCCGAAGCATAATCTCTCTTTGTCACCTGCATTTATTAATTTTTTTTATAAGTATACAATCTAATACCTAGACTTTTATTTGGTGCAATGTAACCAGATTTTACCTCTCTGTAATGAGGTTTGTGTGGAGGAGCTATGAATCGGTTTCCATGGCTGAGAATCGTAGGACCTTGACTACCTCCGATCGCATAAAGCTCCCAGTGAGTGTAGTCATTGTTCACAACATGAACAAATCCCCATCGGATCCTTGGCATTCTCTGTACAAGTCCTTTACCAAAATGGTTATAAGCAACTGTGACTTGCATATGCTTGTCTGCTTCATTCGTGTTTTGAGCACCAAGCAACATCACCTACATAAACAAATATCCCCAAAAATGCAAATCTGTAGTGGTAAATATCATGAATGATTAATAGGGAGAATCTAAATTAGTATATGGATAAATTTGACTAATGCTTACATCGTTGTGGTGAGTGAAGTGAGAGTTGGAGATTGTAATGCCAGTGGATCCAACAATGGCATCAATAAGTCCATCTTGACATTTAGACATCGAAATATGGTCAAGCCAAATGTTAGACGAACCGTAAATCGATAAACCGTCTCCATCAGCTCTAGTCCTCATTCCAAAATGGTCGACCGAGTCTCGGATCATACCACCGCTACTCTCGGAAATGTGGTGAATATGCAGTCCATGGATGATGACATTTTTCACAAACTGCATTGTGATCCCTGCACCATGCGCTACATGGACATTGGCTCCTCGTGCATCGATAGTCTTGTGGCTATTAATGAGAAGCTCTTGGTTTAACCGAATGCTCATATCATTCTTGAAAATGATCCAGAGAGGTTCCTTCTGAATTACGGCATGACGCAATGTCCCGGGTTTAGGGTTCACCATGTCGTCGTCGAGGTTGCTTGTAACCACGTAGATGCGTCCTCGTTTTCCTCCGGTCGTCCTGTGACCGAACCCTCGGACACAACGTGTAAGCCTCTTCCGACGCTTAGCCCAATCCGATCGGCAACGCCAACATTTATCTATCGGGTTACTTGCGGTACAAGGTCCCTTTAGCTTACTCCATTTGCCTTTACCTTTACCTCTTAAGCTTCGTCTGGTGCTGTTCGTCGAGCTTCCGAGCATTTCAATGAACTCTTTTTCCTCCTCTTCAGGCTTCGCATCACCCTCTTCCTCGGTCGTTGTAACATCAGTAGAGTTGCTATATATACACAATAATTAATATATAAACCAAACCAAAAATAGTAAGGCCAAAAACTCTTTAGTTACCAGATAATAAACAAGAATCAGCATTAGTAATGTTTTTGGGTTCAAAATCAGATATTGACTTGACTTACTCGTAGTGACGCTCATGAAAGTGATCGACGATTTCGTAAGGATCAGAATGGTAAGCTTGAAGAGTGAATTCTCTGGCTTCGTCGGCTCGTTGCGACCAATACTCGTCCAGCTCAGAAATGTTACCTCGAATGGTCGGAATCAGAACGGCAATACAAAACATAAACATCAACTTTGACAGCCTAGCCATCTCCATCTTTCTTTCTTTTATTTTTAAAAAAAATTTCTTTCTCAGAAAATAGTTTATTTTTTTTAATATTTAAACAATCTCTTCTTCTTTTTTTTTTCCCTTGTTTTCTTAAAGGGTAAGATTTAAATGGAGAATTACTAAGCTCTCGACATGGCTTTAGGTCGTTTTTTTCTATTTTTTTCTTTAAGAGCCTAAAGCCTTTAGATGATGAATCGTACTGCGAATTTTAAAAAATGTGAAGGTTTGGTGTTTAAATAAACTTGATTAAGAAGTAATCTCCAATTTTAGAAATTTACCGCTAAGGATGGAGAGCCGTCATTATTTATATGTGGATGGCTTCTATGTTTTTATTTTAAACTTTATTTTTAGCTCCCAAATTTTTTCTTTGTTTGGTTTTATTTGGGATAAAAATAGGAAAATTTATTATATTTCTTAAATTATATACTAGTTTTGCGTATAACCTATTTTGGATATGTTTGTCATTTATTTTGATCTATTGTTTGAATAGAAAAAGTCACATACTATGTTGGTCTATTCATAAAGGTTATTGATTTTGTGTTTATTAGACTTGTGTATTAAGAATTAAGAAGTGTATTTCTTGTGGGTTGTGAACCTTTCATGTGGTTAGTAACATTTCATTCTCTCTGGGATTAATATTGATTTTTTAAGTTCTTATATATATGAATACAAATAGAAATGTTTTTAGTTTATTTTTCGGTATAAATATAAACAAATACTTATTCGTTTCTCGGTACAAATGCTAAAACTTCTATAAAAATGATTTGAACTTCTTAATTGGCACATAAATTTATATATTTATATATAAAAATTAAAGTAGTACTGTTGCTAACATATTCAAAAAAGAAACTTCATGAGGCTTTGATTCGTTATCACAGACAAAATTTAGCTTTCAAATGTTCCAAAGTTTCTCGGTTCAACCTAAAATGGTAAGCATTTGCGTCCTTCTTGTGAGAAGCAAACTTAAAAGAAAGAGACAATTTCCAAAATTTTAGCGAAAAAGCACAAAACTATCTGTATATGTTTATAAAGGAAAATACTTATTTCTCAATCTTCAAACCAATTTTAGAAACAGACAAATATTATGCTTCATGATTACTTCCTTCTCAATTCACTTCTTTATTCTTTTGGTTTTTATTCTCATATCATATGCCTATATGATCTTTGGTGAAAAATATCGGCTAATTAATTATTCTGTCTACGACCTCGATTACGTGTATATGTATGTGTATGCATGCATATATGAATTACAATCGTTACTTGAGAAACATTTTGATGGCATCTTGTATATCTATCTTATTTGACTAGAAATGTTCATAAAATATATATGCATTTTAAAAAGTGAGCAGTTTCTTTGTAGATTTAAATTTTTTTAGTTCAAGTATCTAAGCTAAGGTAAGAAAAAATCAAAGGCTATAGAACTAAAGTTCTGTTGGAGCATATTTAGCTCTTCTTTGTTCATGCAAAAGACAAATTAAACAGCCTTCTCTTTTTATCTTTTGATTTTTTTTGTTCTTTTCTTATAAAAATGTGGTGAGAAGAAAATGCCATTTTTTTCAAAGAAAAAGAATACCACAGTAATTGATGATTTTAGGCAAACCCAACTCAACAAGAATTCTAATTAAAGGGATAATTTTCTTCTTTCAACAAATAAGAAAAATAAATGAAACCCAGAGTTTTTGTTTCATTTTTTCCCTTTGAAACAAAAATTCCATTGTGGAATCAAAAACCTTGGAATTCAAGAGTTACACATTTGAACAAAAGAAAACAAAAGGCATCAACTTTACCCATATATATGCCATAAGATCAAACACAGTTTCTTTCCATTAATTTGGAAGAAACTATTCCTTCGATTTTCCTTCAAATTTGTACAAGCAGTTCTTCTTTTATTGTACAATTTGATAAAACATGATCTCCTGGCTCGATATCTACCATGTTGTTTCAGCAACTGTTCCTCTCTATGTCTCAATGACCTTAGGTTTCCTCTCTGCAAAACATATAAAGCTCTTCTCACCCGAGCAATGCGCAGGCATCAACAAATTCGTCGCCAAATTCTCAATCCCTTTGCTTTCTTTTCAAATAATCTCTCAAAACAACCCCTATAAGATGAGCCCTAAACTCATTCTCTCTGACATTCTCCAGAAAATCTTAGCCGTTGTTGTATTAGCCGCGGTTTTAAGATTCTGGCATCCACCAGGAGGAAGAGGAGGAAAATTGGGTTGGCTCATAACCGGTTTATCTATATCGGTGTTGCCAAACACTCTCATTCTTGGAATCCCAATCTTGAGTGCCATCTATGGAGATGAAGCTGCGAGCATCTTGGAGCAGATTGTTGTGTTGCAAAGCTTGATTTGGTATAGCATCTTGCTCTTCTTGTTCGAGCTTAATGCCGCAAGGGCGTTACCTTCATCAGGACCCTCCCTAGAACATACAGGTAACTAAAAATCATTCTGTTTTTTTCGATATAAGAACTTCCTTTAACATGATTTACCCTAAATAAATCTTGGTTTCTTGTAAAACAAGGCAATGACCATGAAGAGGCTAATATAGAGGAAGAGCCAAAAGAAGAAAACGAAGAAGAAGTAGCAATAGTGAGAACAAGATCTATTGGAACTATGAAGATTTTATTGAAGGCTTGGAGAAAGCTTATAATCAATCCTAATACATACGCAACATTGATCGGAATCATTTGGGCTACTTTACATTTCAGGTGTGAAAACAAAATTCATCTTATATCTTTACAAGTTCAGTCTTTTTTGATAAATCATCTTACACATCTAAAGATTCCATCTTTATCATCTTAGCTTACATATTCAAACACTTCTTTTTCTCCTTTTTCAAAAATAAAAGCGATAATTTAGTAGTTAGCTTCTCCTATTTTAAGCTTTCTGTTTGATCGTTCTTCGCATCTAGAAATTCAATTTATTTTTATAATCGAAATGTGATAGTCCAGTGATCTTCCACCTATTAAGAATAGCTATATATTATTTTTAATATATAGTTTATAACATCAAATGTCATGTTTATATTTATTTTCTCCAATAGATTGGGATGGAATTTGCCAGAGATGATTGATAAATCAATACATTTATTATCTGATGGAGGCTTAGGAATGGCCATGTTCAGCTTAGGTAAGCTATATATCTACATATTCAACACACAAAAGCATATCTAAACTTCATAATTGGAAATTTAATTTTTTTTAAAAATGATACAGGTCTTTTCATGGCATCACAAAGTAGTATCATAGCATGTGGAACAAAAATGGCGATTATAACAATGCTCCTCAAGTTCGTATTAGGACCTGCTCTTATGATTGCTTCCGCGTTTTGCATCAGATTAAGAAGTACTCTCTTCAAAGTCGCAATATTACAGGTACAAAAAATTAGAATTAATGATCCATTAATTAATCATAAATTCTGTCATATATTTTTGTCGATTGATTTATTGTGTTGTAGGCTGCATTGCCTCAAGGAGTAGTGCCATTTGTTTTTGCAAAAGAGTATAATCTTCATCCGGAGATCATTAGTACCCCTGTTCTAAAAATCCCCGCCTAGCCCCGATTACTCCCCGCTTAATCGCTAGGCCCACCCTCTCCGCCTCGATTAATGACTAATCCCCTAAAAAATCAGTAACCCGATTATTCTCCGTCTAATCCGATTATTTTCCGCCTAATCCGATTATTTCCCGCCTAATCTTACATACCCCGATTATTTTTTAGATTACAAGTATAAAAAAAACATTTTATTTTTGTTATTCAATCATTTGAATTGGGAGTTTGTGATGTTTTACATAACTTGTGTTCAAATTTTAATAAAAATCATAAAAATTTGTTTTTACTGTAATTTTGAAAACAATATTGAATTAATATATTTTAAAAATATTAAAATAACCCTAAAACTAATCCCCGATTAATCCCCGATTTTAATCCGATTTTCCGATTAATCGCTAGGCCCATGCCGAACGCCCGACTAGCGCCTAGCGATTTTTCAAACAAGGATTAGTACTGGGTAAATAAAATATTTCTTGTTTATTTGAGTTTTTTTTTGCTTCTTCTATTATTTATTTTAATACGATTTTTTTTTGAAATTTAATTTTTGTGGTTTTTATTGTTTTGCTCTTTCAGGGTGATCTTTGGAATGCTAATTGCCTTACCAACAACTTTGGCATATTATTTTCTATTGGACCTATGAATATGACATGTTAAAAAAAGAACATGAATATGACATGTTATATAGGCTCTTAATTTTGGATTTATATGGTACTTTAGTCATGAAATTTTCAGATGTTTGAATTTATTAAGCTAATTTCAACCATTCTCTTTAATTCTTGTAAATCATTTTTCTCCTGATATTAGATTAGAAAGAAAAAATCATGTCAACTAGTAAAATCAAATTTATGATGATATACTTTTTTATAAAGCTATATAGAAGTAAATATAAGAGTACACCATTTAAAGGAGAAAAAAATCACATTAGTAAAAACATATATGGAGTAAAAATCTAATCCAAATTTAAATAACAACAATTCAGGTGGTTTATCTAACTCTGAGAAAATAAATAGACATTGTCAAAGACTCAACATAAAAATATAAAATAAAGAAATAAAAATGGAAATTTTGGGGAGGAAGAAAACTAGAGAACACGGCCTGCGTGCCACGCAATAAAAAATGGAAAAATGGCGAATAAAAATAAAATAAGAAAAGGAAAATAAAACAAAAAAAAAAAATGCCTTGGAGAGTGGGGAATAAATAATCAACGGTTGAAAAGAGGGGACACCGACTCAAGTAAAATAAATCTAACGGCTGAGATATTTTTGCTTGATAAGCAGGGAAAATAGAATATATTATTATATAAATTTAGGGTTACCATTTCTTCATCCCCTTTATATACACAAGACCACATTTTCTCCAGAATCCTCCATTACTCTTCTTCTTCTCAACTTGTGAATCTTGACAACTTTGTTGGATTTTTCCAGAAGCAATCATGGTTAAAGGTCCAGGACTCTACACCGAAATCGGCAAAAAAGCCAGAGGTACTATCTTCTTTTTCTTTCTTCTCTATGTGACGCGAATGTGACTGAGATTTCCTAAACATTTGAGCTGTTTCTCTGATCAGGGTTTTTGTTGAATCGGTTAGGGTTTCTCATTCGTGGTTCTATTTCTGTTGCTATCGGTCGTTGAAATTTGTGTAGATGCATCTTTAATCGAGCTGATTGATAATCTCTGTGTGTTGTTTCCGTCGATTTTATGCTATCTGTTTCGTTTACTTGTATAGATAATAAGACTTGTGTTCTCTGGGTTTCGTTGTTTGGCTGGTTTTTGACTTGGATCTGGAAAATGTCTATCAAGGATACAGAGTAGGAGTTGTCTCGTGTTTAGCTTTGGATCTTAAAGGTTTTTGAATGTTATATTGTAGATCTTCTGTACAAGGACTACCAAGGAGACCAGAAATTCAGTGTTACCACTTACTCTTCAACCGGTGTTGTAAGTTTTTCTTTTTGATTTTTTTTTTTGTTTGTCTTCAGATTTCTTGAGTTTTAAACATTGTTAGTGACATTTGTGTAGTTTTCTGTTTGGATTTTAACTTTGTTTATCTCTTGGGGTTGATTTCTTTTAGCATCTTTGATTGAAACTCTGGTATTTCACATTTTGGCTGTACAGTCACGAACTTAACTCTTTCTTGTGTCAACTGGTTATAGGCGATCACTACAACCGGGACAAACAAAGGAAGCGTGTTTTTGGGAGATGTTGCTACCCAAGTGAAGAACAAGAACTTCACTGCTGATGTCAAAGTTTCCACTGATTCTTCTGTAAGTAGACTTTTGCTTTTGTTGTTTCTACTAACTATATGATATTGCTGATTGCTACTGGGGTGTTTATTTCTGTGTATATGATGATTTCAGCTGTTGACCACTCTTACCTTTGATGAGCCTGCCCCTGGACTTAAAGTAATTGTTCAGGCTAAGTTACCTGATCACAAATCTGGAAAGGTATATAACTTCACCGGCATCTTTTCTTTCTGTCCAGGTTTTTTAACAGTTTGATATGTTGGGGATAATAGTTATGTCTTCTTTTCTGAACAGGCTGAGGTTCAGTATTTCCATGACTATGCTGCTATCTCCACCAGCGTTGGATTCACAGCTAGCCCGATTGTCAATTTCTCCGGTGTGGTTGGAACCAATGTTTTGGCTCTTGGTACTGATGTGGCCTTCAACACTGAATCTGGCAACTTCAAACATTTCAATGCTGGTTTGAACTTCACCAAGGATGATTTGATTGCTTCCCTCATTCTGTAAGTGCCTCCCTCCATATGAATTATGAAATGATGACTTGAGCTTATAATGCTACTGGTTTTAAACAGAGTTGTTTCTTTAAACTGTTTTTTTTCAGGAATGAAAAAGGTGAGAAACTGAACGCATCCTACTACCAGATTGTGAACCCATTGACCAACACTGTGGTTGGAGCTGAGATTAGCCACAACTTCACGACGAAAGAGAATGCCATCACTGTCGGGACTCAACACGCAATTGACCCATTGACCACAGTGAAGGCACGAGTGAACAATGTTGGTGTGGCTAACGCACTGATCCAACATGAGTGGCGTCCAAAGTCGTTCTTCACCGTTTCTGGAGAGGTTGATTCTAGGGCGATCGAGAAGAGTGCTAAGGTTGGGATTGCTCTCGCTCTCAAGCCTTGAGAAGATACCACCAAATGGGCCCTGATGTGGGTAGAATAGTTATTTCGTTTTCGTCTTCAAATCTTTGGACAAATCTCTGTCTGGTTTGCTAAACAATCTTTCATTTGTTTTTTTTGTTCGGTGTTGGGATTTTGTAGAAAATAAAAGAAGAAAAAAAAACTATTGAAAGGATCATCTCTTGAAGATGAAGAACCATTAAGATCCTTTTTACTTATTCTCTCTTTTTATTCTCTGTATGCTAAAAATACTCTGCTCCACTTCCAAGTTCTTTAGTGGATTTTTCTGAGAGATTCTTACAGCATTTTGTCTAGTTGGTCAGATTTTTATTGTTTCATAAGATTTGATTTTGTCCGATTTGTTCCAGTCCATTACTTTGTTTTCTTTTATGGATTCAACTTAAAAATCCAGAGCTCTTGACGACCTCTTGTATAAGGAAAAAGTTCTTGTTACAAGAAAAATGACAACATAAATCAAACTGAAAGTGAGAAAAGTAAGAAGCATGACTTGTAGGTTTTGAACAGCAACAAGACTAATTAAGCCTGTAAAAAACATCATTTTCAATCATCGGGCCTCACAAACGCATTGTCCTGAAACAGAGGAAGACGTAAACAATGTTTTATAATACGAGATAGAAGATGAACATGCGATGATGTAAAATGTCAAAAAAAATTTCCATTATTCACATTTTTACCATGTGTCAATGGAAGAAGCTTTCAGCAATGGAAGACAAAATCAGATTTCCATACAAAACCCAATTGGATTCACCGTTCTCCATCGTTTTTTACATTAATCGATTAAAGAGTTACCGTAAAATCGGTTAAAAATATCTCCATGCGGCTGAAAAACGATAAAAGCTTGAGCTTTTTAGCTTTGTTTGTTGTGCCTTTCGTCCACCACGCAAGAGCTATTTAGTTGCTCCTTTAGGCTTTGGAGAAGGAATCTGATGTCGATAAGGCGAAGAACCATGTTGACCATGAGGACTAGACAGCGTTCGAAACACGGGTTGGTGTTGCCCGTTTCTTGATCCAAATCCGCTTCCTCCCTGAGATCGACCTGACCCATTTTTCAAACGTTCCGCTTGCATTGTCTGGAAGTAGTAAGAAGAGCTCGCCATGTCTTTGAGATGCGGAAGTGGTTTAAGTGCTTCGACAACATCACTCATCTTTGGCCTAATCTTGGGGTCACGGCTAAGACACTGTGCAGCAAGCTGAGTCACCTTTTGAGCACCTTTGATTGAGAAATGGCCCTCAAGCCTCGGATCAAGTAACCGGTAAAACCTTCTTTTGTCAAGGAGATGTGGTCTTGCCCATTCCACTAAGTTGTGCTCACCATTTGGGCGGTTTTTGTCCATAGATCGTCGCCCAGTCAGCATTTCCAGTAGAACCACCCCAAAACTATAGACATCGCTCTTTGATGTCAAGTGACCTTAAGAAGTTCAATAGGAAGCAAATCAACAAAGATGTAAACATTGAATAATTCAAACTGAAGAACATGGATCAAACCAAAGAGGACTCACCGGTCATTACATATTCGGGAGCAGCATAGCCATATGTACCCATAACCCGAGTAGAAACATGGGTTTTGCCTTCATCAGGAGCATCTTTGGCAAGTCCAAAATCTGATAGTTTTGCATTGTAGTCCTGAAAATGGGAATTATTGATTAAACTTGTTAGAAGCAAAGCAAATATAAGATGTTGATCCAAAGGAGTAAGATACGTACTGCATCAAGTAAAATGTTTGATGTTTTGAAATCTCGATATATAACAGGCTTCAAAGCTTCTTCATGGAGGAAACTGAGACCTTTTGCAGCACCTAATGCAATCTTCATCCGGATAGACCAAGGAAGAGGCAACGACCCTTTAAACATGAAAGCACCAGTATGGTAAGAAAGAAGATTAAACACGGACATACTTTCAAATGGTTATATATATAATAAGGTTGTTGGTTTACATACTTCTGAAAAGGTGATTCTCTAAACTTCCTCGAGGCATAAACTCATACACAAGCAACCTTTGATCATCTTCGATGCAATAACCAACCAGCTTAACTAGATTTGGATGGAGAAGGTTACCAAGGAAATTAATCTCAGCCTGCAATTGCAAGAAGCAGGAACACATAAAGAAAATGACAAGTGATAAAAGCAAAAGAAAGAGAAGAAAAAGTGTTTGCTTACAAGCCATTCTTTGTGACCTTGAAGTCCATCAGGATTTAAGGTTTTAACTGCAACTGTAAGGCCAGTACCAGGTTTAACAGGAGCAGTTCCGTTTTCTTCGATCCATCCTTTGAAGACACAACCAAAACCACCTTCTCCAAGAAGACTCTCCGGTCTGAAATTTCTAGTTGATAGCTTAAGATCATTGAAAGTAAACTTCCTGAGGTGAGAAGAAATCTTAAGTTCTTCACTGATCATTGGAGTAGATGAAGAGCTTTCTGCATTGCTAGTTGTTGTTGTGGAGGAAACTGGACCACCAACTGGTTGGTCGTTTAATTTCTCATTTGCCGATTTACTTTCAATTGTTGCAACTACAAAATGAAGACAATCCCAAATTGAGTAAGTAAAGATATAAAATGAGTAAAACTTCAAATACAATCACAGATCAGAATTACTCATAACTCTTTATGTCCCTAAATTTGGTAACAAAGAAGCTTGAAAAAAGGGTTAAATCACAAGCATCACGTGAATTTTGCACAAAAACCCTAAATGGAAACATATAGCTGAGAAGGCAATTATAGAAACAAAAAGATTGTTCATTTATTCAATTCAAAGGAAAACCCTCGAATTGTGAGATACTAAAAATGGAAAAATCAGAGAATATTTATTTACCAGTGCAGGTAGAGCCATAGATAGAAGAAGAAGAAGAAGCATCAAGGTCTGATTTTGAAGGTATGCAACCAATCATAAACCTAAATTTAACCCAACACCCACTTGCTTCTTCTGTCTCTTCTTCGTCATTTCTACTTTTGTTATTATCATCGCCATTGCTATTCTTCTTGCTCTTATTCTCAGTCTCTTTAGGTTTCTCCGATTTCCAATTCCCCTTAGCTTTAACAGCATCCAAACCCATCTCACCAAAGATAGACAAAGATTGATCAGACAACCATAGTAATTTTTCCCCCAAAATTAATAAATCAGGAGAGAATTATTAGAGAGAAAACAAAATCCAGGAAAAAATGAGTGAAAAAAAGCACTGGGAATGGATCAGAGCCCAGTCGCGGAATTTTAGTCAAAAAGGAGAATTGATGTCTGTGGAGAGAGAGAAGATGTGCAGAAGAAAGAGTAGACTAGGCAGAGAGAAAGAAAGAGAAGGAGCATAGAGGAGGAATTATGATGAGAGAGAGAGCAATGGAAAATAAAAAGTGAGATTTTTCACATGTGCTTCAACAGTGTTAGTACTAAATTTACATTATTTATTAATCACCGGTTTTTTTCATTACTTAATTAGTATTATTTCGTAATTATAAGCTGTTCTTGGTTTACAAAAACCTCCAGGATTTGTGTTGTGTCTGTTTTATTTTTGTCTGGTTGGAACCAATTATCAACACTTGTTTATTCTTTGGGAAAATCAATGGTACGAATCAAATTCCATTTCGCTTTTAGCTCTTTCTTCTTTTTCGGAATACGTGAATCCTGTTTTAAATCATTTTTTTGTTTTAAGAGAATAATATACACAAAAGCAATGACTGAAAAAAGCTTGGAAATTTCCAATAATGCTAAACCAATTAACAATTGTTTTAAAACAAACAATTTGACGATTCTACAAAAAGAATGAACATTTTACTTTACACAATTAGAAACTACTAACAATTCAAAATTTTGTTTCAAAAATTAAATGAATTAGGAATATCATCATCATTCATTAGTCATCCACTTTGTTGGCGTTTAGCTTTTGCCATTAGAGGTGTTCTTGTGGAAGGGCCAAAGTTTTACAAGACGCTCCAGAACGGCGGCGCTTTTGGAGAAGTATCCGGAGAAGCCTGCCGGAGTTGACGGCGGAGGGAAATCCTCTGCAGGCATTGCAAATGGCCGTATCATCTTCTCCATTGTCTCGAGAGTCAAACATGAACCAACCTCTTGAAGCCTCTCTGGTCCCATTATCGGAAGTGTGTGTTCCCGAAGCAATGATTCTGCTTCCTCGTCCTTCTTCTGATGTAGTGTAACAGAACCAAAAAAAAAAAACTTCTTTTTAGTAAGCGACTATGGGACAAAAGGGTCTAGTCTAGTCTTAGCTCTTTACCTCTAAGGGAGATAAATCTGCGCCTCGGCTAAATGTAAGTTCGATTCTGAATCGTTTCGGGTCGTCCAGAGATATCTGCAGGCAAGAATTTTGACACGAGTGAGTATAACAACTTGAAAGCAAGAGTGAGGGAGAAATGGCGGGTGTAGTATTGTAAACCTCAGTGTTCTCAAACAGTCTTAGGACAACATAGCTCATGTAATCGAGTTCTTTGGTTTTACATAGACGATCCAATGCGCTTTGGCAGACCAGACTTTCTTCTCCTTGAAGAGATTCGTCAAGGTTACAATACCGTAGAACGTTCATCAGAGAATGAATATGTGATTCCTGTCAATCGTTTCATAGAAGAAAGCCATGTATAAATTCCACAGGCTTCATTCATTATAAAGCTAGTTGAATGATCTAGTCATAAAACACATTCTAAATAATTCTAAGAGTTCGAAGAGCCTTGTAGTGGCTCTAAAATGTCAAAAAGATTTCTTCTTTTTTCCATTTTTGCCAGCAGGATGCTTGCATGTAGCTGGAGATGAATAATTTGTAAGAAAGAGACTACAAATGGAAGAAAGTACTCACAGATGTAAAGTAAAGACGTGTCCTCACATGACGTTCAGGCGTCATGACATTTGCATACCTAAAAAGGAACACAATAAAAACGATGATATTAAGGTAGATGATAAAGATATATGATGCCATTTATAATCTAAAAGAGAGTTTTCGGTTACTTTGGATCGAGTCTGTATTTGGTTTCTTTATCATCATCCTCTTCTTTATTCTCTCCAGTGCTAGGCCGTCTCAACTCATCGCTTTTAACGAAAAGTTTTGGCTGACTGTATCTATCCTCCTTTCTTGACGAATACAATGACACTGAAACTTGATCTTGACTGTTCTTCAATTCAGCAACACTCATGGCCTCTTCTCGAGTGTTCCTCAAGTCAATCAGGATTTTACCCAGCAGGCGCCGTGCAATCTTTATTTAGAAGAAAAAAAAAAAACACACATGGTCTGTGAGATCATCTGAGGGAACCATGGCCCATCAGTGAAATTCCAAGATAGGAAAAACTCAGATGCTATTGCGGAACTTAGAAGGCTGAGGAACCCACACCTTTGAACCGATTTTGAGCTTTTGCTGTGGATTGATCCCATACTCATTTGGGATTACACCATCTGCAAGCAACTGCAACCACATACAGTAACTGGCCCTAATCAACACAGTCCATGATCGAAATGCAAAACAGAGATGTACAATAGAAAAGGCACAGTTGGAATCTGGAAATCTAGGACGCATTGGCTAGTAGTAGAAAAAGTAAAACTGTCTAAGCAAGACAAATGGATGATGGTTCATCGAGAAATACCGTCGAAGTTTCAAATAGTGGAAGAGAAACTACAGCTTTTTATTCAGCTCATACCTGCGCTACTTTGAAGAGTTCGTCTAATCCTTTTAGATCGAGATGAGAATTATGTAACAGGTCATACCTGGTGTTGACAACACATTCACGATATTCAGAATGGAGAAATTAAAGCAAGGATCAATCTAGATACACACTAAAATACATAATAGACTGAAACACATAGCTTACTTGCATGAATCGTAAACATCAGGAATCTGCGTTATGTCAAACCGGCTGTATTCAATTCCAACGATCAGTGCCATTTATAAAACTCATACATAAAATAAGAATGCATATGGCCATTCACTTACTCTCTTCTTTCGTTGTAGAGATCCCTTTCGAGTTTTCTCCATCGAGCAAACATCAAAAGGAACCCCTCACTACCACAAGGTAATCCAGCAGCAATCCGACCAACGTCAATGTTTGACTTTCCAAGGGCCTTAGCTTGATCATATGGAGGGACTACATCATAAGCGCTAGGCTCAGCGAGATTCTCGTGTTCATCTTGTGCAAGTAGCCTCACTTGTTCAGTCACCTTTTTAGCTAATTTTACCTATTTATTTAAAAAGTAAACAGAGAAGTAACGTTGAGTATATATCTTGTGCTCTCCAGCAAATCTTTTTCTTTCGCCTAGTAGTAAAAACATGACATTCCATTTTAACAAAGAATACAATTGAACAATGGGAAAAAATGCAGCGAGTAGTGATGATGGCTTGTGAAAACAGATAGAAAGCCCACTATCCGGGTTCTAAGATGCTAATAGACTAAAGTTAAGGTTGAAAAAACTGTGCATACCAATTCAGGTAGGTGCTCATCAGCGTGAGGAGGAAGTCCAGCCCCATCAGTCATCCAAGGTAATTCAGAAGAGACGTAATCTTGTACCATCTTTGAGCCGGCGGTTATGATCTCATTCAGTTGAGCCTGCAGGCAAATTTGGAAAGCAATTCAAAGCTGTAAACAATTACACATGATTGTTAATGTACATATGAGAATATAATTCACCCTACTTTTCGCAAATGAAAGTCAACCATCTAAGCATGCATGAAAAAACCTTAAGTTCAAACATCCAATGAGTAAGTGCACTGGAAAGGCCTCTATTGAGTCCCTTTGGAAAGAAAAAATTTGGTGTCTTAGAAGCAGATTCAATCTAGAACGTTATGCATGTCACACTGCTGACTATTGGTTGATGCTTCTAACTAGTACCTAAACATCCTTTCATTCGTCTCATATCTCTGAAGCCACAATCAAGAATTCAAGATGTAGTAAAGAGAGGGACAAACCTTAGCTGCTTCCATTTCACTGCTAGCATTATCAAGGCCATCCAACATGGAAGAGTCCTTACTGACCAGAGAAACCTAGAGAAAAAAGATAAGACATTTAATGATTATGAGATTGCCAAGCACTATACTAGCTTGGTAAAAGGGAATGGCAAACCAGGATTGGGGTCAGCTGTCCTTCTAGGTCAAGCAGGCCTTTGGCAAAAGCAGCTGCAGACATCTGCATACATTGGTATCATATCTCAGTGCAACCGATGAGGAATATTCAGAAGATATAGTGAATATTTGAATGCTCAATGGTCATCGTCACTACTAAATCGGCAGAAAGTTGTACCTGAACACGCCCCTCGTCAGAGCTGTAAATTTTAAGGTCGTGACGGTATGTACTATGGAGACGGAGCAAACCGGTACCTTCCCCTGAAAGCATATCCCCAGTTTTTCATAACCACTCAGAAATAAATGTATATTGACACAACTACAATGGACTGTTTCAGAAAATTGTATGAGACATATGGAAGGTAGAATATGAAATGATTGGACAAATCAAGCAGATAAGGTGTCTTCACCTGGATACATATTGTTTCGAAAGTATCTACCAAGTTCTTCCGCCTGTGGAAAAAATCAAGCAAACATAAAAAGAAATCAGAGAAGAATTCATCAACTGCCTGCACTGGTGTTAGGTATCCTTACATTAACTATGCCTCCATTACCAATACCAATACTGAAGTTTGCACTGCATTTGACATAATCTTCTGCTACCAAATAATAGTGTTACCTGCTTTCTACCAGCATGAGTTAGAACACCACCATATTTCAGAACCATAAGAGCTTCCACTGGGCGTTCCTCTTCACCTTCACCATCACTTCTTGGTACATTAACCCATTTCAACGGCTTCAGTTGAACCTTCCTGTATATGCCAGAGAAATGTCCACCCTGCACATTTTACACATCTATAACATGAGACTGAGTTTGCACCAACATCCTTCCAAAGGCAAGAAAAATGGCTGTAGCTGTTACTGTACACCTAATTACAAGGACTATAAACAATAGAATGGGACTGCATAATGGATACAACTCAGAGAAAAGGAAAGAAAAAAAAAAGATTATTAAGGCACACAACCTCTTCAAGAACGGCTTTAACTTGCCGAAGCTTGTCAGCGTGTTCAAGGTCTTCTGCATCACTATCACTTTCACCTGATCTAAACATCAAACATAAGTACAATAAGGCAGTTGCCAGATTTAAAATTGTACTCGTGAATTATCACTAGTTAGTGTCAAAGAAGCATATTCGTCAATACAGAAAAAGATTCACCGGGACTATCATAAACAAAAGTCCCCTTCAGCGAAGGAATTTGTAAGAAGTAGAAAAGTAACATATAAAAGCCACTGTTTGGTTAGCTCACTCATTCAAGTTAAATTTCTTTCAGTTCATCCATGACATCCACTGGTTCTCTTAATCAGTAAAGAATTTTGTATCCCAGAGTACCACTCAAGCAAGGAAAGGCTTAAAACTGTAAGCATACTCAAGTCATAAGATCATTATTAGGGGTCTACCTTGTACGAGGAATTAACATTCTTGTGGCATCCAATAGATCTTGCAATTGGACGGCACTTTTAAGTTTTGTCTGTAAAAAAGGAAAAACATTACACAGTATAAAAAAATCACTATAGGCGGGACGAAGTTGAAGGTGGAAAAGCCCGAGCCTCTCACCTCAGCTCTTGGTTTTCCTCCATTGTACTTCAACATCAGGTTTAGCAGTTTCTCCTCTGTAACTTTTAGTTTCACTTTCTGCTTGGGGGTTCTATCACCGCTGTCAAGAGAAGATAAACACAACTCAGGGCCTGGGTGAACAGAGAGAAGTTAAGAGAGGACAAGTGATCAGATGCTAAAACATACTGCCGAACAACAGCAATGACACAGCGTAGCTCCTCTGACTGCCCAAAAGTTCCAATGATGCCACTTCCTTGGCGAGTTAGACCTTCATTAGATTGGACAGGTTCGTTGATTTTCCATGGGAGAATGGGAGGAATTGTTGAAGAAAGATGCGGAGCCTTTGCATCCAAAAACATCTTCCGTAGCACACATGCAGCATCGTCGTAATACCTTACAGAGAAAGAGATCTAGTGACATTTCTGATTAAAAGTCCAAATAAATACAGACTGAGAGTTCCAAAAGTGGATATGACAATGACACAGTGTTTAACTCAAATAATAAGCAATGAGCTCTGCCTCTACTAGCTTATAGCCAAAATGTATGACTTTTAAAAGGCAAAAGATGCTGCTAAAAACTCTAGAACTGAAATTCACTCAATGAACATAATTTATTAACTATAGAGCTAGGTCGGCGGCAGCATATATATTATGATTTTTGATTTTCCGTGCGAAGATATAACTGAAACAATAGTCAGAACTCAGAAGAAAAATAGAAGTCCAGATAAGTGTCTCACTTATAGGAGTTTTTCACAAAGCTCCATCCATTTACGTCACAAACATATGAACTTCCCTCAGATCGTAGGAGATCAAAACCGCAGACCTGCAGACATGAAAATAAATCCATTAACGCATTATACAAGAATATCTTCAACTTATCCAGGCAACAACACGTGCGTATGCTTGTCTCTTCATAAGAGAATATATTGTATCGCACCAAGCATTTAGTCTGAAGCTAAACATAAGCAATATAGAGATTAGTTAGAGCATCTACAAGCACATTTTAGTAATCATTCCTTCTAACTAATTACACCAGAAGCAAGACTTTAACACTGATTATACTGTGGAAAAGAATATGAAAGAGAACATTTAAAAAAGTACACTGGTAATATACAATTTAGCTCAACTATCTTCAATCTAAGCATTATGAGAGAGACTCAGGCATGTCTCCTTTCCTTATTACTGTTGCGCAGATAAAATTATGAGGTAATAGAACTCTTTAAGAAAGATAAAATTATGAGGTAATAGAACTCTTTAAGAAACAATGATAGTCAGATCATTGGAATAACCACATACCGCTTGCCTAAATGCGATGCAAACTTCTCTTGCCATTTGCTTCTCAGCAGGTGTAAGTAAAACTGGATATCTCACCTGTTCAATAAAATAACAATTCCTGGTCAAAGTTTGAACATCAGCATTCTGTACTTTTTCAGAAAACATAAGCTACGATTCTTATATATAATCGACAGCCTTTGGTACCCTGTAAACCATAGCTCCATTGTTCATGAAAGACGAGTAATGTCAGATTTCATATGTGGAATGGTTTGGTATTGATCGAAGACTTACTTCCTTCCCATCTGGATTCCTCATTACAACACCATCAACAACAGGTGACTTTCTTGCTTCAGCGTGTGCATATTCGGGACCCACAGTATAGACCTGTATTTCAGGGTAGACTGTCAGTTGAAAACTCGTTAAAGCCAAGCATGAACCACCATGCTATCCAGAAAAAAAAACAAGCAAGAGACGCTATTCCAGCTGGCGTTACGACATGGAACATATCCATTTACATGAGCAAACAGGTCAACAGAACAGCATATGGACATTAACACGGCAACTTTTAAATTTATGAGACCTGGATACCAACAATAGCATACAAACACATTCCAATGTTTTAAGAAAGGTGAAGTAGCCTGGCCATAGATTAGAAAAAAAATAGCTTAGGTAGCAACACAATCACAACCTTGACATCAGTTCCTCCAGTAGGCATAAACTCCTCGTATATATAAGAACCTTCTCTCCTTACTCTTCTGACATCAGGATGAAACTCACTTGATCGGTTCCCAACCTAAAACAATAAATTGGGTCAATAAGGGATTAATAACCACAGGAATGTGCCACAAATTATTACAATCATATTCAACTGAACTGTTCAATCCTAGAATAGCCAAGTTCTGAAGAAAGACATTAGGTAGTGAAAGAGCCAACTACAGTAATGAACCATAAAAACTATAATAATATTAGACCAAGTTTAATCCACGGGAAGTCAAGTTCTGCAGAAAGAAGCAGTACCTTACGAAACAATTCTTTCATGCCTCCACCTGCTGAGCTAGGGTAGTATATCATTATACTATGGTCATCTCCTTTACAAGCATAAAGAATGTCAATTATTAGTAAACAGTTAAAACAATCTGCAACTCAGGGAAATAAATAGGATTGAGGCTGATACATAAAAAAACGATTTTACCAAAATTCCAAAATGTAAGAATATTGCAATGACACATATAAAGCTCAGATTTGTAGTTTAAGAATGTTTCAGACCAAAAAAGTAAACAAAGAGAGATCAAAGATATGAAAAGAGAAGCTAACCATTGACGGGCTTTTCCACAAATGGCTTCCAGAATCGTTCACCTTTAACCTCAACAAAATCTTCTTCCTCGACGAAATAATCAAGATCTTCGTCTGGTACTTTTCTATTGACACAGGCATATCTAGGAACTGGGATACCATACATCTCAAGATGCTATAGATGCACATAAATAAAACATTTTATTAATTAAGGAGAAAGTGTAGCTCTTAGTTTTCATGAACGACTGAAATCTGAAGAAAATAAATGAGTGGCTAATAGAAATGCACAAACCAAATCTTGTGCAGTCTAAAATGTATACCTCATACACTTTCCGGCGGTCATGAAGAAGATATTGAGGATCCAGTTCATTCACTAAAAAGGGCCTGTATCATAGAAGTTTGAAAAGGCTACCTCAAAAGCCAAACTCAATATATTTACTGCAATCAACAAAAGTTAAAAAGGTAGAACTCACTTTCTTAAAGAAGAATATGCTTGAACTTTCTCAAGAGGATATCCAGAGGAATAAAAAGCAATCAAACAATCACAAATCGGCCAACTGAAACAGTAAAGTCCCTGGTGAATTTGTGGTCCAAGAATATAATTGTACTTGATAATCATTAACTACACTCTCTCCTAATAAACTAATAGAGAGAATCGTTACAAATCCATGCATCACATGAATTAAATACGATAAAACATAGGACAAAACCAAAAGTAAAAACGATCTTCATACATATGTTTAGAGACATACCTTTCTACTGGGTCTTCAAGTATGACCTTATCCCCAAAATGTATAATCTAATACAGTGGTAACAATGGGTCCATGAGATCACAATTAAAAGGGGAAAAAAAGAAGAGAATAACCTATAGAGAATCCACAGAGACAGATACCACCAACTTGGTAAAAATTACCCAGGAAAACATCTAAAAATAAAATTGAAATCACAAATTAGAGCTAAGTCTAACCAAGAGGCATTTTCTACCCAAGCGGAGAACAAACTACAGCCTACAGGTCCAAAATCACCAAATAAAAACCTGAAAACATCAAAATCCTCAATCATGAGAAAAATCGAGAAAGTGAAAACTACCTCAAATTCGCCAAAGGCATGTATCCTGTCCATAATTTGTCCCATGGGAGCTGAGAAAACCTACAAATCCACAACGAACAATCTCAATAAGCAAGACAACAGGGTAAGAAAAAAAAACCTCACCGGAGTAACAACAGGTTCAAACGAAATCATCAAAAATCTGGTCGTCACAGCAAGAAAACGCGAAACAAAAGCACGAAAGGAAACAAAACCTCGGGGCCGCATTTCACCTTCTTTTCCATGACGCAGACTCCAATCGTTATCTTCTTATCAACACCTGCTCCTTCTTCCACCCCCATTCTCGCTCTCTCTCCCGATAGGTAGTATCTCTTTCCGTTTCGTTCCTCGATTTTACACAACGACGTTCTCTCGTTCTCCGTCTGAAATCAGAGATTCACAAAACACAAACGAAAAATTCGTTCAGAGGAAAAATGTAAGAGCTGAGACTAAATCGCTTGGGTTTCGAACAATCTCGGAATCATGGCCGCGACTAAGATAGGTAAGCATAACATGAGAGAGCAATGCGAGATCTCGCAGAGAAAAAGTCGAGGAGAGACGTTACCGGGGAAAACGATGATCACAAGCAGAGAGAGCAATAGCTAGCGATAGTGCGGTAATGGCACGAGGAAAGAGAGAGAGCGAGAAGATTCAGGCGTCAGGGGCGTTGCTTTGAATCGAATTAAACAAAAATATAAAATTGATTAGCATTATTAAAGATATATAGATTTGGCTTGTTTATTTAAATCAAGGTTATTAATAATTTAACTAGTCACCGACCCACAAAACTATTCAAAAACTATAAGTGATTTTTTGTTTACGGTGTTCCTTTTAGGAAGTTCTAAATAGATTTTGTATTAAAAGAAAAATAAAAAATATAATAAAAAATAGGAGGGGCATAAACGATTAAAATTCTTAAGAAAGTGACAGTGACAAAAATTCTAACGACATTTGTTATTAGAGAAGCTTTTTAATTCATAATTATAATAATAAAATCTCTCTCTTTATTCTTCTTGCTTCACTCTGTTCTCTATAAATACTCGTTTCAATCTTTTTTTTTCCAACTCAACAAACAAACAGAAACAAAAAAAAAAAAACCAAATCGGCGATGATGATGATGCGTAACAGACTCGTTTTCTTCTTGATTCTCACATCAGTCATCATCTTGATGACATCGCAAGGTTCTTCCGGCGTAAATTACGGCGGTAACATCGAACCATGCGTCGCTTGCAAGCACCAACGCCGTCGTTGCACACCGGACTGTATCTTTCGTCTTCATTTTCCGGTGGGACGATATCAAGATTTCCAAAACGTTCACCGTCAATTCGGCGTCCGCCGTGTGGTAGAAAATCTCGAAAATTTGGCGCCGGAGGAACGAGGAGACGCAATGAAATCGATTATTTACGAATCCAACGTGCGCTCTCAATTCCCCGTCGATGGCTGTTACGGAGTCATTTTATATCTACAAAACCAAATCGCACTCCTCAACGCTGAACTACTTCGCACCCGTTCTCTACTCACCGCCGTCGTCGCCGCATCCAATCCAAGCTCCGCTTTCTTCAATCCCACCGCCGCCAACAACTTCTTTCATCCCTCTGCCGCCGCCAACTTCTTTTATCCCGCCGCCAACAACTTCTTTCATCCCTCTGCCGCCGCCAACTTCTTTTATCCCGCCGTCTCCGTCGAGTCAGAGCTAATAAATCCTTCTCGAAACCTCAACGCAAACAACGACGACTTCACGAGAGTTCCCGCTAACGATGGAACGATCGATTTCTTGGGCATGGGAGGGTATTGTGGTAATTTCGCATACGAGGAGTGTGTGACCGAGACGACGCCGTTAGAGGGAGCGCCTAACAACAACGCCCAACAGTTTCTTCCCAATACGAACAATCTCGGTTCGAGCCCTGATAATGCAAATGCCAACGAAGCGTTGGAACAAGAACAACTCGGTGGTGCTCCTCGTAACAATGATATCCCGAGAGAGCTTTCTGAATTCCTTACTGATGAGGAAAGATCTTTCTCGGAAGCTCAAGATTCCGGTGACAAGTGGTACGTTTTCCGATTTCCTTATTCTATTATTTGCACTATTTAATTATATGATTAAAACTTGAAGTAATTATTGTAAAGAAACTTTAATACAATGCCATAAAGAAAAAGATATCAGTGTTCCTTCTTCATTCATAAAATCAAACATTGGCTAATTCTGATCAAATTAATTAAAAGCATAGTTATATGCATCGTATATAGAGTTGACTACTGTTTTTTTTTTTTTTTTTCTTTCAGTTGGTAGTTGCCAAAGTTTTAACATAGTCGATAATATTTCTTTGATTAGTTAAAACTTAGTGACTAGTCTAAAGATTAATAGACCACATTATACTAGTATAGTATACATTTATAGGAAGAATACGTGGGACCAAGAAACTAGACTTTTGGCCTAAAATGGCATGTATCAGTTTACACTTTTTTTATTTATAAATTATACGATACCTTCCTACTAATATTTTGTACTAATGCTGTTTTTTTTTTTAATTAACAGTGCATCTCAATCTATGACGAAGAAAGATGACTTCCCATTTCCGTAGATCTTTCCACTTTGGGGATGAACCAGTCTCTACAGAGAATAATAGTTTTTTTGTACTTACTCTCTCGTCTGAATTCTTATTACTCTTAATTCTCTTGTAGGCTTTTCTCCCCTTTCTCAATATGTAGATAAAAATATAATTTTTACTATATGAAAAGTAAAATACGATTTAGACTCTCTGGATAATTTCTGCAATCATTTACTTTCGTTTCAACATTTTCTTTAGTTTAGACTTTATCGAGCCAAAAAAATTAGCATAAATTACGAAAATCAATCTCATAGGTTTGGGTCTTTGGATGTGATCATTTAAAGGCCGATAGAGGCCTTTGATTTGTTCGACTTTTTGATTCATCCCCCTTCGTTGATTTTTTATATGTGGGCTTTACGTGTTTCAGTGAGGGCTTTCATAGATTTAAAGCCCATTAAGCCTTGCGTGTTTAAGAAGCTGATTTAGTCAGCCTAATAGTCTGACAAAAGTCATTAAAAAGTCAATAACTTTAATGGAAACAGAATAAACTTGGAAGACCAGTTAAATGCTTTCCATACTCCTACTACCAAAATGTATCGTTTTTTAAGCAACAATTATTTTATACTTACTACAAAAATTAAAAGATAAAAAATGACCATTTACTATAACTCCAATAATATATTTATCTTCACAAGAATAAACTTTGACTGGGATAAAATGTAGTTAAATAGTAGTATCAGATAAAACAAATGGATTTACAAAATATAGAACACGTTTTCATTAAATATTGGATATTTTAGATAAAACATAATATAATGATATTAAATCATTGTAAATAACCCAAATCATAAAATACAATCACATACATAAATCGGATAAAATTTAGCAGAACAAAAAACACTGTTGAAAACAATTTGTTTTTTAATATAATAAAATTGAAACATACAAAAAGAACAGACCAACAAACAAACAAAAACACACCAATTCTTCATTCATCTTCTCCATATCGTAATTCGTACACTTGACTCTCTCTCAAGTCTCTCTAGCCACAACCACTGAAGAAGAAGAATCCATCTGAGAGTGATTCTTCTGTAATTGATGAAGCTTCGAATATGAAGAAATTGAAGAGCTATTACATGCAAGTTCGTCACCAGCAACAATCTCTAGACCGGAAATGGATTCTTCCATTAGCAATCGGATCCATTTGTTCTCTGTTTCTCTTATTGCTAACGAACTTAGCTTCTTCTTCTGGTCAAACTCGTTTGATTCCCTTTTCAGTCTACGGATTTAGATCCTCCGTCTTCGTCGAATCCAAGATAAATCCAGTATCCGTCTCAGTCTCCGTCTCAGTCTCTCCTCCGCCGCCGCCACGTCTCGCGTATCTAATCTCCGGCTCCTCCGGTGACGGTCAGATGCTGAAACGTACTTTATTGGCGCTTTACCATCCGAACAACCAGTACGTTGTTCATCTCGATCGGGAATCTTCACCAGAGGAACGATTGGATCTCAGTGGTTTTGTAGCGAATCAAACTCTGTTTCAGAGATTTCAAAATGTTCGGATGATTGTTAAGGCTAATTTCGTCACTTATCGTGGTCCAACTATGGTGGCTAATACGCTTCACGCTGCAGCGATTTTGCTTCGTGAAGGTGGAGATTGGGATTGGTTCATCAATCTAAGTGCTTCTGATTATCCTCTCGTTACACAAGATGGTAACGAAATTAGATCCATAGCTTAATCTTATAATCTCAAACTCTGTTTATTGTTTTTTGTTCAATCATTTGAGGTTTATGTCGATTCGATTCCAGATCTGTTGCATACGTTTTCGTATCTTCCTCGAGATCTCAATTTCATCGATCATACGAGCAACATTGGTTGGAAAGAGTGAGTATAGTAGCTACATTACAACATTTCGTTTTTGACAACTTTCTCTGAGATTTTTGAAAAAAACTTGTGTAGGTCTCATCGAGCAAAGCCGATAATTATTGATCCTGGTTTATATATGTCAAAGAAAGCAGATGTTTTCTGGGTTTCACAGAAGAGAAGTATGCCTACAGCTTTCAAACTCTTCACAGGTGATTTCGTTTTTCATAAATCTTTCCTGTTTTGGGTTATTAACATAATGGGAATGTCTAAATGTAGAGTGTTCCTTAAATGTAGGATCCTTTTGTTACACTCTTTATGTGTAGATATTGATGTGATATAATGGTTCTTGATGTTGTTTATAGGATCTGCGTGGATGATGTTATCTCGACCTTTTGTGGATTATTTCATATGGGGATGGGACAATCTTCCTCGAATTGTTCTAATGTATTACGCAAACTTCCTTTCATCACCAGAAGGTTACTTCCACACGGTGATTTGCAATGCTCGGGAGTTTACTAACACAACAGTAAACAGTGACTTACATTTCATCTCATGGGACAATCCTCCAAAGCAACACCCTCACCATCTCACAGTAGATGATTTCCAGAGAATGGTGGACAGTAACGCTCCTTTTGCTAGGAAATTCCGTAGAGATGAGCCTGTTCTCGATAAGATTGATTCGGAACTCTTGTCGCGGAGTCATGGGATGGTCACTCCGGGTGGTTGGTGTATTGGTACGAGGGAAAACGGGAGCGATCCGTGTGCAATGATTGGTGATACTTCGGTTATTAAACCAGGTCTTGGAGCTAAACGGGTCGAGAAACTCATAACCTATTTGTTATCAACTGAGAATTTCAGACCACGGCAATGCAGGTAATGGTAAATTAGAGTTATGTCAGAGAGATGGTTTACGTGGTGTTTTACACAAAAGGGAGTGTGTGATGATGATCGGATACCTTGATGTTTGTATAGATATCTTTTTTGGACTTTCTTCCTTTGAGAAAGTGCCGAAATTTCGGCAAGATCATTGATTATTGAATTTGTCTTCTATTGCCGACCTAAAGTTTGATCTTTTCCAACGTCATACCAATTTGGCAATTTTATAGGTTTGTCACATTTTAGTCATGTCCTTTTATTTGTCATGATGAAGTTACCTGACTATTGTGACTAAAATATTGGTGTTTCATTGATATTATTGCTTTCGAGTTGATTTGATACATGATTCATTAACTCACATTGATATTATTGTTTGAAATTTATAGATATACACCCATGTGACTAAGTGCAAATTACATGACCTATTGATGGTCACTTCTCTTTCCATGTGACTGACTAGTGGCAAAGATTTGGTTTGAATTAGACTGTATCCAATGTTTTGGAAATATCTTATTTATTCGAAAAATCATCATAGCAGAAGTCAGAAGCTTATCAAATATTAGTAAAATGTCACAGAAAAATATATAAACAATTGCAATGGCTCTCATTCAAAGCTTGCCCCCATTCTTTAATTTAACAAGAACCCAAATCGAATACTGACAAATAAACAATTGAGATCAGTGTTTGGTCTAAAATTCTCAGTCACGGTTAATCTGAAACACGGACCAATTGTGGCAGTATTTTGCTCATCAACTGATACTGCAACCAAAAAAAAACGTAAGATTTAAAACAAAGAAGAAGAACCTCGGCCTATAAAGCCCAATAGTTATTGTAGGCCCAACAACGTTCCGAAGAGACGGCACCCTTTGGCGCCTTTATTTATAACTTGTTTGTCATGCGTTGCGACTTGCGATGAGAAGAGAGCCAAATCACAACGCTTCATCGGATTTGCCTAGAAAATTTTCTGGTTTATGTATGTATAATCTTCGGTGATCGAAGTGTTTCTTCTTCTCTATTCTGCTCTCACTTCAAAGATCTGATTGATTTATTCCATATCTTTCCAAGTAACCTCTCTAATTGTTGATCTTTTGTTTATTCCGGCAGCAATGGAGCGGACTCCTGATGAAGTAGACGTTCCAAGGCCTCGAAGGTTAGTTTCCTAATTTTGAAGTGTGCTGGTGTGATCGTGGGATGTTTTTGACGTACAATGAAGAATTTTGATCTACTTGCTTGTGTAAAGAGTATTTTAAACTTTCAAAACATGCGACTCTCTGAGTTCTTCTTTTGGCTTGTGGGCAAATAGTGTCTTTTCTTTATTACGTGACTGTGTAGGAACATGTTCATGTCTGTCTCTATTGGTCTTTTGGGTTTGGTGTAGGCATGGAGAAGAAAGGGAAGTTATGGCTGAATGTAGAGCATACTTTAAGGAAGTGAAAGATACGTTTCATGACCAAAGGGAAAAATATGATATGTTCATTAGGGTTATGTCAGATTTGAGGGCACGAAGGTAAGATCCTGATTGTTTTTTTTTTTGGTTTACCTATAAGGTTTTGATGAGCTTGCTTAAAGAATTTCTTGCATATACAGGATTCGTCATTATACTGCATTTGCTCGATTGAAGGAGTTGTTTAAGGGGCACAACGAATTAATTATCGGATTTAACACCTTTTTGCCACCTGGATACAAGATAACTCTTGATGATGACGTAGAAGACTCTTTTATCTCCACCGCAAGAAACTATTGAAATTTTTTTTGTCATAGTTTTATTACTCTAAGTGATACGATCAAAATCTCTAAATTAGTCTCTCTGTTCAGTTCTTGATGGTTTTTCGAGTACGTTTGCTTTGCCATGTATGTGGAAACATTTCACTATACAATAAAGGTTGACCTTTTTCTATCTTCTTTACGTCCACTTTCAATATTTGTCATGAATTTAATTTCTTTACCAATAATAGTAAAAACATAAATATCTTCTTTTTTATTCTTAATGAAAACAACTTCTGAAATCTGACATATGAATTTATAGTATTCAAAATAACGTCATTGCAAAAGTTTCAAAAGAAATATATGATTGGCATTAATTCAGTAAGTAGGAAATTCTTTTTGTCATTGAGCCAACAAAGACCAAAATGTTAGCATTGTTTTATAAGTAATAACGAGAAGCCAAGATCAAAGATTGAAAAAAGAACGGTATTGAGATCATAGTATGCTGTTACAATACAAACACTAAAACACACAAAGATGTTCTCCATCATACTGTTGCAATATTTTCTCAGCAACTGATACTATAACAATCCAATACAAAAATTTTTTTAAAAAAAAGAATTTATTCCTATTTTTAATGTTTATTTTTTATCTGTAAAAAAAAGAGTGTATATTACATAACTTCAGAGATGGAAGAAGGCCTCTTTATATAGCTTTACACTATGATCACATTTGTTCCTAAAGATAATAAATTGAGTAGATGTTACAAAAAAAAAAAAAGTAAGGAAAAAGAGCCTAATGAATGCAACTTAATTGAGCCAGTTGCAAAAATAAACAATTGAGATCAGAGTTTGGTTATAAATTCTCAGTCACGGTTAATCTGAAACACGGGCCAATTGTGGCAGTATTTTGCTCAACTGATACTGTAACAAAAAAAAAAAACGTAAATTAAATTAAAACAAAGAAGAAGAACAGATGAATACTTAAATAAGGCCTAACCTCGGCCTATAAAAGCCCATTATATATTATAAACCCAAATAAGTTACGAAGAGATGGCACCATTTGGCGCCTGTATTTATATCTCGTACGTCATTCCTGATTTTGCACTATTCTCATCACAAGTCGCAACGCTACATCGGAAATGCCTAGATATTTCATAATGTAAGCATAACCTTTGGTGATTGAATTGTTTCTTCTTCTCGATTCTGCTCTCACTTCAAAGATCTGATTGATTTGTTTCATATTTTTTTTTTTTTGATAAAAGGTTAATTGTAAGCATAATCTCTCTAATTGTTGATGTTTTGATTAGTCCGACAGAAATGGAGCCGACTCCTGATGAAATAGACGTTCAAATGTCTCTAAGGTTAGTTTCCTAATCTTGAAGTGTGTTGGTGATCGTGGGTTGTTTTTGACGCATAATGATGAATAATTTTATCTACTTGTTGCTTGTGTAAAGATGATTTTTCAACTTTCAGAACATGTGACTGATCTCGTAGATCTTGTTTTGGTTTGTGGGCTAAGTGTTATAGTTTTCTTTATTATATGAATCTGTAGGAACATGTTATATGTCTGTCTTTGGTCTTTTGGTTTTGGTGCAGGCATGGAGGGAAGACCACTAGTGATGCTCTGGCATACATTTGGCAAGTGAAAGATACGTTTCGTGATCAAAGGGAAAATTATGATATGTTCCGTATGCTTATGTTTAATTTTAAGGCTAAAAGGTAAGATCTTGATGTTTTTTTTTTTGGTTTAGCCTTAAGGTTTTGATGAGTTTTGCTTATAGAATTTCTTGCATTTACAGGATTGATCAATCTACTTTGTATGCTCGATTGAAGAAGTTATTTAAGGAGCACAAAAATTTAATTATCGGATTTAACACCTTTTTGCCACTTGGAGATAAGATAATTCTTGATGGTGACGTAGAAGCCTCTACTAGCTCCACCGCAAGAGACTATTGAAATTTCTTGTCATGGTTATTACACAAATGATATTAATATCAAAATCTCTAAACTATACTCTCTATTCAATTTTTGATGGTTTATTATCAAGTACGTTTCTTTGTAATCCATGCATCAGAAAACGTTTCACTACAATAAAATATGACCTTTTATATTTTCTTTACGTACACTTAAATTTGTTGTCATGATTTTATCTTCCTTAGATATATTTCTACTTCTGCTCACATGTATGGATTATTATTATTTAGGTGAACTACTTATACTCACAGAGCCAAAGACCAAAATTAATTTTAGCATTGGTTTATAACAAGAAGCCTAAATCAAAGATTGAAAAAAGAACTATATTGAGATCATCATTTAGTGTTAAATACTAAAAATCACAAATTTTCTCCATCTTATCAATGTCAGTGTTTGCTCATTAACTGATACAATAACGATACAAAACAAAAATAATAAAAAAGCTTCAATGATCATATTCTACATAACTTCAGAGATGAAAGAAGCCCTCTTTATATAGCTTTAAACTATGATCACATTTGGTCTAAAGATAATACATAATGTAGTTGTTACAAAAAAAAAAAAAAAAAGTAAAGAAAAGAATTGATCCTAATGAATACTTAAATGGGCCAGTTGTATTTTTTTTTAACATAAATGGGCCTATATTCGGCACATAATGGACTATAGGCCCAAATAAGTTACAAACAGACGGTTTATTTGGCGCGTTCTTCTTCATCTGAAAAAATGTCTCTCATTCCTCTTTTTTAATTCCGTTTTGCTCTATTTGTCATGGCAACACTTCTTCTAGGTTCCGCCTGAAATCGTCGCTGATCGAAGTGTTTCTTCTCGATTTTGCTCCCACTGTAATCTCTTTGAAAGTGAGTCTCTTTGACATCATCGTGATTCTTGGTTTCTCTTCGGCTTGCAATAACTTTTTTCCCCATAATTCTTTATCAGCAATGAAGCGGATTGGAGATGAAATTGACGGTTCTGGGTCACAAGTTAAACCTCCATTGGGCTCCCCTCCAAACGAATCGTGAGTTCTCTTTTCAATATTCGAGATTTTAGCGATGAGCACACAGAGAGTTTCGTATTTCTGCTGTTAAACTAGTTGGTTCTTGGCAAAAGATTTGGTTGGTTTACTAATCTTGAAATGTGGCTTATCTCGATTTTATTTGTGATCGTGGCTTGTTTTGACGCATAATGATGAATAATTTCACTTTTTTTCTTGTTTAATGAGAATTATTGATCACTTTTTGGAAATAAAAGATACGTTTCAAGAATCAAAAGGACAAATTTGATATGTTCTTAGTGAGTTTCTAGATTTAGTTGGTGATCATAGGTTGGATCTTTGGTTGCTTGACAAAGAAACTTAATTTTAAGCCCATGAAATAATATGACATTTAGATCAGGAAGTTACGTTTATTCATTGTTTGAGTGAAATTTACTTCAATGGTTAGAGCTTGTTTGGGGCAGATGTGGGCAATCTCCAGTACCTGGAAACGGTGACAACAGAGGAGGGATCATTGGGGACAGGGGAGTTAACACTCAGAGATTGAGCACAGATGATGCTTTGACCTACTTAATGGAAGTAAAGAGGACGTTTCAAGATCAAAGGGACAAATATGATATGTTCCTTGAGGTTATGAACGACTTTAAAGAGCAAAGGTAAGATCTTTCTTTCCTATCAGATTGATTATTTTAGCCTCAAGGCATCTGAAAACATTCTTCATCTTGCATTTATAGGATCCATACTTCTGGTTTGATTGCACGAGTGAAGGAGCTACTTAAGGGTCATAACAATTTGATTCTCGGGTTTAATACCTTTTTGCCTAAGGGGTATGAAATAACTCTTGATAATGAGGATTGAGGAACAAGAAGCTAAGTTCCTTCACTACAAGAGACTATTGCATTATGAATCAGACTGAAATATCAAATTGGTTCTCATTAAGGGTACATGGTTTTACACAAATGGTTGTGACATTTAAATTTAATCGAGTACGTGTGCTTTGTATATACATTCGATCCTAAAGTTCGACTTTTTCTGTCTTCTAAGCTTTACTACAAGTTAAGCTTGGTCCTTTTTAGTTATGGAGAAACAGATTGAGTTACTTCTGCTCAGAATTATGAATGTTTATTCTCATAGATTTAAAAATCTCTGAAGTCTGACATGTGAATTTTATTCAAAAGATCATCATAGCAGAAGTTTCAAAACAAGTAAAAAATAGATATGATTGGGCTCTCATTAAGTAAAAATTAGTTATCTTTCATACTCTGTTTTTCAGAATAGCGTATACTGCCAATTAGGCAAAGTAATCACAGAGCCAAAGACCAAAACTTTATCATTGTTTTTCAAAAAAGAAGCAAAATTTGAAGATTCAAACAATAAAACAATTGAGATCAGAGTTTGGTTATAAATTCTCAGTCACGGTTAATCTGAAACACGGACCAATTTGTTACTCATCACATCTCTTATTTCTATAAATCTTTAAGCTCAGAAAAAAAAGAAAAAAGAAATTAAGATCATCAGAGACTTAAATACTAAGAATCATACAGATTATCTCCATCATATTGTTGCAGTATTTGCTCATCACCTGATCTTAATACTGAACAAAAATCCGAACAAAAAAAAACACGAAAAACCGGAGAAAGAAGATGTAACAAAGCATATTAGATCGATGTCTCTGTGTAATATTTATCTGTTTCCTCTTTATATATATCTTTGTCGGCGAAAATGAAGAAGAAAAACCCTAATTACCTTAACGGAGTTATTTAATGGGCCTAATCTCGGCCTTTTATTAAGCCCATTATAAATTTAATGGCCCAAAAATAGAAAAAAGGAAATTTGGTGCCGCTGAAACAACTAAAGAAGGTGCCGGGAGAGACCTCAAAGGCAAACAAATTCCGTCGTTGTTTCTTCTTCTTCTTCATTATTCGAGAAATTCTCTCTCTTTCTCGTTCTCAGTCGTAGCAACTCCTCTTCAAAATCTTTATCTCTCATTTGTTTTTCTGAATTTCACTCTGTTGTCATCGGAATTGTTCTTCGGGTTTTGCACAATTCGGGAATTTGAAGTTTCGCCGGAATTTGATCGGAAGTGTTTTCTTCTCGATTCCGCTCTTACTTGAGAGATCTGATTAATCTCTTCCCGGAGTCATATCTCTGGGAAATCTGGACCACGAGAAAGTAGGTTTCATTAACTTCATCTGAGTTTTCTTCCTTTTTTAATTCTCAGTAATGGAGTTTCTAATTTGGGATTTTGGGTTTACATTCAGATTTTCAATTTAATTCCCTAATCGATGATCTTTTGTGTTTTACTTGAGCAGCAATGAAGCGAATTAGGGATGATATTTACGCAACTGGGTCTCAATTTAAACGTCCTTTGGGGTCTTCTCGTGGCGAATCGTGAGTTCCCTTTTCGAAATTCAAATCTCTAGCTATCAGACATTATGCTGCTTTTTTTTTTTTTCTTTCTTTCGTGTTTGTGATGTTTGATTCCCTTTAAAAAGTATTTGAATTTCTAGGTAAGTTGGTGAACTGGTCAGTTTTACTAATCTAGATTTTGCGGCTTTGTGAAATTTCTAGATTTTGTTTGTGATCATAGGTTGGATCTTCGTGTTGCTTTGGTAAAAGAAACTTAATTTTTAAGCCCATGCAATTTTCTGACATATAGATCAGAAGACTCTAGTTTTGGTTCAAGATTATCTTTTTAATGTCTCTATTGATTTCTGGGTTAGCTGGTTGTCCACTTATTGTTTGCTTGCAATTTACTAAGTGATTAGAGCTTGTTTGCCGCAGATATGGGCAATCACCAATCCCTGGAAACGGTGGTACCGGAGGTGGGAGCATTGGTGACGGGGGAATTAACACTCAAAAATTGACTACCGATGATGCTTTGACCTACTTAAAGGAAGTAAAGGAGATGTTTCAAGATCAAAGGGATAAATATGATATGTTCCTTGAGGTTATGAAAGACTTTAAGGCACAAAGGTAAGATCTTTCTTTCCTGTTAGATTGATTTTTTTTAGCCTCAAGGCATCTGAAAACATTCTTCATCTTGCATTTACAGGACCGATACAACTGGTGTGATTGCACGAGTGAAGCAGCTGTTTAAGGGGCATAACAATTTGATTTTCGGGTTTAACACCTTTCTGCCTAAGGGGTTTGAAATAACGCTTGATGAAGAAGAAGCTCCACCAAAGAAAACTGTTAAATTTGAAGAAGCCATAAGCTTTGTTAATAAAATTAAGGTCAAGCAGTTCTCTTCTCTTACGTGTATCCTTATCTTTGAAGTGCCCTCTACACCTAGTTTCTCATTGTATCAGTTTCTTTTTAATCACTGCAGACACGGTTCCAGCACGATGAACTTGTCTATAAGTCTTTCCTGGAAATCTTAAATATGTATCGGGAGGATAACAAGGACATCACTGAGGTTTACAATGAGGTAATGTCACACTGAAGTGATTATATCTCTCCTATACTGTCACATCGAAATTTCTCGATATTTTATAGCTCTAATATCTGTTTGTTAGGTATCTACTCTTTTTGAGGACCACTCGGATTTGCTTGAAGAGTTCACTAGGTTTTTACCGGACTCGTTGGCGCCTCATACAGAAGCCCAGTTACTTCGGAGTCAAGCCCAACGGTATGATGACCGAGGATCAGGCCCTCCTCTTGTGCGTCGAATGTTTATGGAGAAGGTATGGTATTTGTTATATTTCTTCCTGGTTCTAAAATTGTTTTCAGGTCTCTCTTTTCTTTGCTGATGTGTTTTTCATCATCAGGATCGCCGACGAGAAAGGACTGTTGCTTCTCGGGGTGACCGTGATCATAGTGTTGACCGTTCTGACCTTAATGATGATAAATCAATGGTTAAGATGCACAGAGATCAGAGGAAACGTGTTGATAAGGATAATAGAGAAAGGAGAAGCCGTGATTTGGAAGATGGAGAAGCAGAGCAAGATAACTTGCAACATTTTTCAGAGAAAAGGAAGTCATCGAGAAGAATGGAGGGGTTTGAAGCTTACTCTGGTCCTGCTTCACATTCTGAGAAAACCAACCTAAAAAGTAAGCGACTTTTAGTTATATATGGAGAACTAACAACTTTTCTGTTTTAAAGGCTCCACAATTTCAGTTTTCTAATTTTCCAGTCAACAAGTATGTTCAAGTGCAACCAGTCTTTTCTGTTTTCTTATACTTACAATATCATATTTTTTGTACGTACTTTCATTGCGTTAGGTATGTACAACCAAGCATTTATGTTTTGTGAGAAAGTTAAGGAGAGATTATGCAGCCAAGATGATTATCAAGCATTCTTGAAGTGTCTCAATATGTTTAGCAATGGAATTATCCAAAGGAAAGATCTGCAGAATTTGGTAGGTCTCCAAATATCTTGTGTGTTGATACGTATAGGGGTAGATTTTTGTCTTAACGCCACTTTCTTTCATTCAGGTTTCCGATGTGCTTGGAAAATTCCCTGATCTCATGGATGAGTTCAATCAGTTCTTCGAACGTTGTGAGAGTATTGGTATTAGAGATTTCATACTGTCGTTTTACTAATTAAGTTATCTAGCTGTTTCTGATCATCATCCTTTTTGTGCAGATGGTTTCCAGCACCTCGCTGGCGTTATGAGCAAAAGTAGGCAGCAGTCTCCTAGCTTCTTGTCTATGAGTATACTTTTCTCTTTGTTTTCTACGTTATAGGAATATAAATAACACTGCTTGGTACACTTCCTGCAGAATCACTTAGAAGTGAAGAAAATTTATCTAGATCAATGAAGGGGGAGGAAAAGGAAAGAGAACACAAACGTGACCTTGAGGCTGCTAAGGAAAAAGAGCGATCCAAGGACAAGTACATGGGGAAATCTATTCAAGAGCTTGATCTATCTAATTGCGAGAGTTGCACTCCTAGCTACCGGCTTCTCCCTCCAGATGTAATAAGATTTTCAGAGTTCTATATTGCATCCAGTGACATTTTAACTGTACTTATATTATATCTTATTTGCAGTATCCAATCCCATCTGTGCGACACAGACAGAAATCAGGAGCTGCTGTCTTAAATGATCACTGGGTTTCTGTCACTTCAGGAAGTGAAGACTACTCTTTTAAGCACATGCGCAGAAACCAATATGAAGAAAGCTTGTTTAGATGTGAAGATGATAGGTACGTTTACATGAAGTATTACGCATATGATAGCTTTTGTAGTCTTTAAGTAATTTGTATGTTAAGATTGTTTACTTGCTTCTTGTTACAGATTTGAGTTGGACATGCTGTTGGAATCTGTGGGATCTGCTGCCAAAAGTGCAGAAGAATTGTTGAATATTATCATTGAGAAGAAAATAAGTTTTGAGGGCTCCTTCCGGATTGAAGACCATTTCACAGGTCTGTGGGCATTTGTTTACCAGCGACCTATATTAGTGATTGTAGTTCTCTCTGTTCCACCTCCCTTGCCATATCTTTAAGCCATCATCTTTTAGACTTAACACTTGCCATTTTCTTATTGGCTTAATACAGCACTAAATTTAAGGTGCATAGAGAGACTTTATGGAGACCATGGTCTTGACGTGACAGACTTAATACGTAAGAATCCAGCTGCTGCACTTCCTGTAATTCTAACTCGATTGAAGCAGAAACAAGATGAATGGACAAAATGTCGTGAAGGTTTTAATGTGGTCTGGGCGGATGTGTATGCGAAAAACCATTACAAATCACTTGATCACCGCAGCTTCTATTTTAAGCAGCAAGATTCTAAGAATTTGAGTGCAAAAGGTAAGTAAAGTCTTGGAACGTGCTCAGTCCATCAGCGGACTTGTCCTTACCTTTAATTGCTTATAATCATCTGTTATGGGTCTATCTTGCATTTAAATATTTGTTCTCATAATTCTTTTTTTTTTTTGTTGGTTAAATACCAGTGCTCGTGTCTGAAATCAAGGACTTAAAAGAGAAGTCTCAGAAAGAAGACGATGTTGTTCTGTCTATTTCTGCTGGTTACAGACAACCGATAATTCGTCACCTCGAGTATGAATATCTCGACAGAACTATTCATGAAGACCTGTTCAAACTAGTCCAGTTTTCTTGTGAGGAGATATGTTCTACAAAAGAGCAGATTGGTAAAGTTCTGAGGCTCTGGGCTAATTTTTTGGAGCTAATGCTTGGTGTTGCACCCAGGGCCAAGGGGTCAGATTCTGTTGAAGATGTTGTAGAAACCAAGCATCACAGTGCATTTACCAGCGGGGAGGCTAATGTGAGTTCTGACGCGATTAGTTTGGTTTCCAGGCAACTAAAATTAGCTACCAACGGAGATGAGCATGCTTCATCTGGGGTCTCCAAACATGGTGGGACTGGTATTTTGAATAGGGATTCTTCAGGGAAAGAAAATTGTAAGGATGGTGATTCTTCTAATAAAGATGTTGCCACCTGTGCTGAAAAACCCCAAAAAGATCAAGAAATTGGAAATGGAGCCGATAAAAGATCCAGGGATGTTGATGAAATAGTGGCCACGTCAAGTGCATCTTTCCCAAGTGGGGTCGAAAACAATAATGGTAAAGTAGGAAGCAGAGATTCGTCAGGTATTTTCAGGATTGAACTTTTTTGTTTTCTTCAGTTTGTCTGTAATACCTACCTTAACGTGTCAGTGCTTTACTTTTATTTTCAAGGTTCACG